CGTGAGCTACCGCTCCTGGCCTTCATAGGAGTTCTTATTCATAAAAATTTTGCATATTTCTCAAAAATTACCTTTTCCTTTCTCCTTCTATAGGTAGACTGGCGTCGTTCCTTCATTACCACTGATGTTAATCCTTACTATGATTCTTTTGTTAGATGGCAGTTTTTAACATTAAGAGAAAGAAACAAAATTAAATTTGGGAAGCGGTAAGTTTGTTGTCCTTTAATAGAATAAAGTAAAAATCATGTAATTCCTGCATTATAATTCAATAGCCTATAGCCCACTTTTCCCCATAATCCTTTGTCTTTTTATCATTTTTTTTCATTCTCTTGTATTTTTTGTTTTCCTTTTTCTCTTGTTAGTGTCTTAATTTCTATGAGCTGTTTGTGTTTGTGACAGCTAGAACCAGGGATAATGAGAGTGTTGCCTTTGTGATCTTTTTTTTGAGATAGGGTCTCTTTTTGCTCGAGCTAGAGTGCAGTGGCATCATCATAGCTACTACAGTCTCAAACATTTGGGCTCCAGTGACCCTCCTGTCTCAGCCTCCTGAGTAGCTGGGAGTACAGGTGCATGCTACAAGGTGTGGCCTTATTTTTTGTGGAAACAGGGACTTGGTATTGCCTAGGCTGATTTCGAACTCCTGGCCTCAAGTGATCCTCCCATCTTGGCCTCCCAAAGTGCTAGGATTACAGGTGTGAGCCACTGCACCCAGCTGCTTTTATGATCTTACTGAAGATACTGTTCAGTATTCCTTGCCAAGCAGAAGAATAATCATTTTGTGTTTTGTTTTATACTTTTTTCTATAAATTGTTTAAGATTCTTTCCCTGATTATATAGGTTAATCAATGAAATTTGCATTTCATAAGTGAATTTATATTTTATAGTCTTTTGTTTCATACTACAAAGCCGGGATCACTGCATGTTTCTCAGTGGTATTACCTTTATGTAGGTAGAAAACTGTCATTAAATAGCTGGGTTGACAATAGAACTACCCATAAAAGTATAAATAATAGATATAGATGTTTACTCAGAGATATTAGGAGCAATACTGGCAAATACATTAGGATAAAACTTGAATATTATGATAATACTTGTCACTTACTGTTTATTTTTTAGGTATACCATTTATTCTCCAAAAGATGGACAGCCTTGCATGGATCATGACAGACAAACTGGAGAGGTGATTATTTGTGAAATGGAGTAGCTATTATAATAATTCTTAAAATGGACATAGAGTGTAAGAAATAGATTAGAAACCTAAAAATAACTTCATTGCAGTGCTGAGTTGTACAGTCATGATACTCTGGTGTGTATGAAGTGGGAGACAGTGTCAATACAGGTACATGTATCTTGTCTAGGACCTTGCTACTCTAAAAGAGGCCTGAGGACAGCTGTATCAGCTTGTTACAGAAAAGCACATTGTTGAGCCTCGCCCCCAAATTGCTGAATCAGAAGCTCTTGGGGTGGGGCCCAGGAAATCTGTCTTTTTAAATACGCTCTCACTGTGATTCATATGTGTGTTATTGTTGCAAAGCACCATCCGGAAGACACACAGCTCTAAAAAGAGAGTGGGGAAAGGTAATGAGATATGTGGCTAGCATTCAGTGTACACAGATTTCATTTATACTTGCTTTGATCATGTACTCACTTATCTCCAAAGTACTTCTAGCCATGCATAACATCAGTTCACTCTACATTGCTGTAGGACACATTAGTAACATTATTCCCTGAAATACTTGAGTAAAGCAAAGGTTAAGTGATTTGTCTGAAGCCTTGGCATAGTAAATGAGTGATAATGCCAGAATCTGAACTTATGAACCCCTGTGAGTGCGTCATTCTTTATTACTATCTTTGAATATATTTTTAAAATCAGCCTTCAGTATTGATGTAACTTGTCTGATAAATGAGTGTTGATCTAAATTTTCAAAAATTTGAGAGAGTTCAGGAGATTCAATAAAGTTTTAATATAGCCAATGATAGCAATATCCTAAATTTCAATAATACTTTACAGTTTTTCAATGCATTTTTTTACCCATTATCTTATATGTTCCTCAGGACAGCCCTATATGAGACACAGCAGTTGTTTAACAGATGAGGAAAGAAAGGCTCAGAGATTGTGCCTCCCTCAGGTCAACCATTAGTAAGGGACCAAGCTAAGTTTAGAATCTGATCTCTGGTCCAGTGTCTATCTTTGATGACTACACTGTGGGACCTGTCCTTGGGGACAGGATTAGCGTTAATTGTATCTTCTCACCCTTGTTTTGGCAAACAGCATTTTGGCTGATTACTTTAACTCCTTGCATACAAGACTTCTATATGGTCAGCATAGCATTGGCAGTCTCTTCACTGGAAGAAAGAATTATTCTAACAGTGCAAGAACTCATTTTAGAAGTTTGAATCAGATATCTCATATAGGTTAGTAGGTTTAATACAAGTCTTTTTTCCTTCAAATTTTTATTTTGTTTGTTTAGGGTGTTGGACCTCAGGAATATACTTTAATCAAATTGAAAGTGCTTGAGCCGTACCCATTCAAATTAAGGTAGGTTTGCCAAAGCATTATTGTTTCATCATTTCTGAATTATCAGATAGATAGAACTATCACAGCTAATATTTTTACATAAATATTGTATTTTTTTCTTCTTAGTGGCCTGAAAGGTAAAAATATTTTTTTGGTAGCTGCTACTCTCAGACCTGAGACCATGTTTGGACAGACAAACTGTTGGGTGCGTCCTGATATGAAGTACATTGGATTTGAGACGGTGAATGATGATATATTCATCTGTACCCAAAGATCAGCCAGGAATATGTCATACCAGGGCTTTACCAAAGACAATGGTGTGGTGCCTGTTGTTAAGGAATTAATGGGGGAGGTAAGTTGGGTAGCAGACTTTTTATTTTAGTGCATGAACTTAGAGGAAAATTTCAGTAATGGATCTGGAGAAAAGAGCATTTTAAAAACTTTTCAAATGAGATATACATGCAGTAAAGTATGTAAGTCATTTAAGTGTATATGTTGGTACATTTTCATATGTGTGTACACTCATGTAAGAATCACCCAAATCAAGATATAGAACAGTTCCAGCACTCCAGAAGGCTCTCCCCTGTCCATTTCATAGTCAGCACTCACTCCTTTCCTGCAAAGGTAACCACTGCTCTGACTTCACGAAAGATTAGTTGTTGCTCTTGAACTTTACGTAATAGAATTATAGTTATGTACTGTTTTGTGTCTGGCTTCTTTTGCTCAATGTTATGTTTTTGAGATTCATACATGTTACAGGAGTAGTTCTTTTTTTCATCGTGCAGTATTCATTGTAAGACTGTATCAGAAAAACAGCATTTTTGAAACTTATGTTTCTACTCAGTAAATATCTGGTTGAAAAATACAGTCCTCCCCAAGAGATTTAATGCTACATTAGATATTATATTACTTTCTGAATACTATTACCTGCATTCCTGTTAATACTAAATTTGGAATTGCAGTTGCTTTTTTTCTGAAAAGAAAGTCTTGGTTGATGTTTATTAAATTCGAGTGGTTACGTAGCTCATCTACCTAATTACCAGTATTTCTGAGTGTGTTTTATTCATTTAGTAAATGCTGATCTTTGATGTTTTTTGCCTTTTTTTCTTTTTTTTCTAGATAGGGTCTTGCTCTGTTGCGTGGACTAGAGTGCAGTGGTGTCATCATAGCTCACTGCAACCTTAAACTCCTGGGCTCAAGTGATCCTCGTGCCCCAGTCTCTGAGTAGCTGGGACTCTGAGACTACAGGCACATGCCACCATGCCCAGCTAATTTTTAAAGTTTTTTGTAGAGAGAGTCTTGCTGTGTTGCCCAGGCTGGTTTCAAACTCCTAGCCTGAAGTGATCCTCCCATTTTGGCCATCCAAAGTGCTAAGATTACAGGTATGAGCCACCATGCCTGGCCTAATCTTTGGTATCTTTTTTTTTTTGAGTCAGAGTCTCTCTCTGTTGCCCGGGCTAGAGTGCCATGGCATCAAGCATAGCTCACCTCAGACTCCTGGGCTCAAGCAGTCCTCCTGCCTCAGCCTCCCGAGTAGCTGGGATTACAGGTGTGAACCACCACGCCCCAGCTAATTTTTTGTTTTTCTATTTTTGGTTGCCCAGCTAATTTTTTTCTATTTTTAGTAGAAATGGGGTCTTGATCAGGCTGGTCTCAATCCTCTCACCTCAGCCTCCCAGAGTGCTAAGATTATAGGTGTGAGCCACTGTGCTCGACCCTTTGGTATCTTAATAAACAGTCTTTTAAAAGAAAAATGTGAGTAGAGTACCATCTCAATTCCTTTTTTAAAATTGAACTCTTATTTCTTATTTTGTAAACTTATTTTTTGATTAGATTATTATGTATTTATAAGGCTTAAAATTCAAAAGACACAAAAAGATATAAAAGATACCCCTAGTTAGTTCCCCCTTCTAGAGGTAGTGAGTAGTATCTGTGTCTTATGTATCGTTCTAGAAATATTTCATGTGTACATAAGCAAATACATATTCTTTTTCTTACACAAATGGCAATATACTTTTATATACATTTCACCAAATCTTGCTTTCTTTTTTACTTAACCATATCTTTTTTTTTTTTTTTTGAGACAGAGTGTTACTCTGTTGCCCCGGCTAGAGTGCCGTGGTGTCCCGTGGCGTCAGCTCACACCAACCTCAAACTCCTGGGCTCAAGCGATCCTACTGCCTCAGCCTCCCAAGTAGCTGGGACTACAGGCATGCACCACCATGCCTGGCTAATTTTTTTTTTCTGTATATTTTTAGTTGTCCAGGTAATTCTTTCTATTTTTTTTAGTAGAGACGGGGTCTCGCTCTTGCTAAGGCTGGTCTCGAACTCCTGAGCTCAAACGATCCGCCCGTCTCGGCCTCCCAGAGTGCTAGGATTACAGGCATGAGCCACCGAGCCTGGCCTACTTAACTGTATCTTGACAATCCTTTTTCAGTACATAAACAGCTTCCTTGTTCTTATTTTTTATAGCTATACAGTATTCCATCGTTTAGCTGTACCACAGTTTGTTTAACCATTCTCTATTAATGGATATTTGAATTGTTTCCTGTCTTTTTCTATTATAAGCAGTGCTCCCACATCTCATTAGTTCCTGATGTTGGAGTTTTGTCTGAGAACTTGTGAATAGGATTAATGACACATTTTTTCCTGTTCTTAATGCAACTTCTTTCCATGTTAGTTTGAGCAAATTCTTGAGTGAGGAAAATGGATGTTATAAATTATAAAACAGCTTTCAACCTTTAAAACTGCTAAAATATTTAGCTATCACCTATATGACTGCAGATTCTATAAAGGTGGCTTATATAGATATGTGAATAAAGTGTGATGGGCTGGAACTGTGCGAAATGGAAGTGTGTTCCTTAGCTAGAGCAAGCAGCTGTGAGCTGTTTGTTGCCATATGAGAATGTGGGTCTGATACTGCTGCATCTTCTGGATTTTTTTCAAGTGAAACTAGAACTATTCCTTTTACTTCAGTTTGTCGTCATAATTATCATTTTAAATGGATATGTAGTATTCCATCTTGTTGATGTAGCATATTTTATTAAATCATTTTTCTATCCTTGAAAGCTTTAGTTGTTTCCAGGCTTTGCTAGTATAATTAACTCAGCATTGGGCAGATTCCTCTAAGAAACAATTTTGTTTTGCTAGGTCCAAGTTATGTGAATGTTTTTGTGGCTCTTGCTATGGATTTCTATATTGTTTTTCTCAAGGAGTACAATATCACAAGCAATATATTAATGTACTAATTTCATTATAACATTGCCAGATTTGAGTATTATAATTATTTAAAATTATGTTTAGTCTGGTAGGTATGAAAGAATGAGTTTTGTTTTATTTCATATGTATTTGTTTTTATTTCTTAATTGACAAATAAAAATTGCATATATTTATGTTGTACAGCATGATGTTTTAAAATGTGTATACGTTGTGGAATGGCTAAATTGAGGTAATTAACTATGTATTACCTCACATACTTATTTTTTGTGACAAGAAGAATTAAAATCTAAGTGTCATGTGCACATAGTTCCAGCTACTCAGAGGCTGAGGTGGGAGGATTGCTTGAGCCCAGGAGTTGGAGGCTGTAGTGTGCTATTATCATGCCTGTGAATAGTCACTGCATTCCAGCCTGGGCAACATAATGAGACCCCTGTCTTTTAAAAAAAAAGAATCTGTCTTAGCAGTTTTCAAGTATAAAATACATTGTTATTTCCTGTAGGCACCATGTTGTGCAATAGAGCTCTTGAACTTATTTGCTTATTTTTTGATTTCTATCTTCTTAGGGCATAAAATATTTAAAAATTTTTCAAGGTTAAAACATTTAAGACATTTTTTAAAAATTTAAAGTTTACAAATAAATTTCTGTCTCTTTTTTTGAGACAGAGTCTCACTGTGCTTCCCTAGCTAGAGTGCAGTGGCATCATCCTAGCTCATTGCCCTCTTAGACTCCTGGGCTTAAGTAATCCTCCTGCCTCAGCCTCTTGGATAGCTGGGACTGCAGGCATGCACCACCATGCCTGGCTAATTTTTCTATTTTTTGTAGTGATGGAGTCTCACTCTTGCTCAGACAAATACCTTTCTTCACCTTTTATACTTATCTTTTTTTAATACAGGAAATTCTTGGTGCATCACTTTCTGCACCTTTAACGTCGTATAAAGTGATCTATGTTCTCCCAATGCTAACCATTAAGGAAGATAAAGGTAAAGAGTTTATTTATTTCTAGAAGTACTTTGGTAATCGCATTTTGTTTCTGTTAGTTAATTTCATACTTTCTATTATAAGGCACTGGTGTGGTCACAAGTGTTCCTTCTGACTCCCCTGATGATTTTGCTGCCCTCCGAGACTTGAAGAAAAAGCAAGTAAGTATCTGAGTTTCGTTTTCTTACTTCCTTTTCACCATCTCCTCGCTTAAGTACTGCTGAACTACACTGTGGGATAGGCTAAAAAGTTATACATTTATCTTTAAACTGCTATCTCTAGCCTGTTTTTTGATGTTTATATAGTTTCTGTAGTTTGAATTTTGAATTAATGTTTCATAGAATTTTGAAAAGTTTTCTGATATTCACATTTTCATTGAAATCTAGAGTATGAACCTCAGTTTAATGTGTGTATGTGCATTTTTGCTTTTGGCTGTACAGTTTCATCATTTAAGCTGTTCACTATAACTTTCAAGCTGTTAAGTTTTTAAAGGTCACAGATCCCTTCTTGAAGTATTTGGTAAAGTTAGAAAATTGCTCTGTATGGAGAGGAGAACAAATAATAGTTTAAAAAGAGTTTAGAGTTCGATTTTGCTTTTCTCAATGATTATATCAATAAAGTGTTGCTCATTAATGTTAACTTGCAAACTTTTCTATAGGCATTACGAGCAAAGTATGGAATTAGAGATGACATGGTCCTGCCATTTGAGCCAGTGAGTACATAAATGATTCAGAATATTCATACCCGTTTTTTTTTTTTTTTTTTGAGACAGAGTCTTACTGTTGCCCTGGGAAGAGTGCAGTGGCGTCATGACAGCTCACTGTAGCCTTAAACTCCTGGGCTCAAGTGATCCTCCTGCCTCAGCCTCTCCCATAGCTGGGACTGTAGGCGCACACCACGATGCCTAGTTAATTTTTCTCTGTTTAGTAGAGACTTGAGGGTCTCACTCTTGTTCAGGCTGGTCTTGAATTCCTGAGCTCAAGCAATCCTCCTGCCTCAGCCTCCCAGAGTGCTGGGATTACAGGAATGAGCCACCATGCCCAGCTCAGATCCATCTTTTTATCAGAGAAAAAAAAGAGCTAACATGTTTTCCTTGTAACGAAATCAAATAATTCGTGGAGTATGAACATAAGAGAGGGAGTTTGCTAAGGCTTCACTCACTTTAATTTGATATCTGCTAGAGCAGATAAGAGAGAAAAACCAACAAGCATTTGCTTATAACCTGGCACTTATAGTTCTGGAGCAAACAGCTTTTTAACATCACCAATTTTATAGTAGCTTGTTTTGCTAGTACAATCAATTTCCTGGCTTCTAAAGACAAAATTTTGCCCTGTTAAGCATGAATGTTTATTTGTAACCATAATAACTTAAAATCTTATACAAGTCTGTTTTATATTTCTTATGTTTTCATATTAGTGCCTACAGAAGAAAAAAAATTAAATTACCAGCAAATAACTTTCATGAAGAATTCAGAAGACTTAATATAAATAAACCAAAAACAAGACCATCCACAAAATTAGTTATTTACATCATTTTGCTAGCTTCAACATCAATTATTTAGTTAATTATATGTCAGGGGAGGATTGAGAGCTGGGGACGGTGTGTGTTATGGGGGAAGTCCATTGTGGAGGTTGGTGCACAGAGTTTGGGTGGTTCCTGTGGAGAGGAGAAGAACAACTTTGTATCTGGAAGTTAGTTACTCTGATTTCTTATTGTGTGGTACTGTTGTAATGACATATGAAATCTAAAATGACTTCACTGGATATTAGAGGCAAAAGGACTATGCCCCATAGGGCTGTGTGTTCATTCAGTGTGAATAAGTTCTTGACATTGCTGTTCTCTGCAGGTATCAGTCATTGAAATCCCAGGTTTTGGAAATCTTTCTGCTGTAACCGTTTGTGATGAGTTGAAAATTCAGAGCCAGAATGACCGAGAAAAACTTGCAGAAGCAAAGGAGAAGTTATATTTAAAAGGATTTTATGATGGTGTAAGTAATAATTTTTTAATTTGATTTACTCCGTGCTCTGTGGTTTTCTTCTTAATGATTTAGAATATAGAAAACGTCAATATAGTTTCAGCTATAAATTGGTCTGATAGAGAATATGAGAATGTATTCTTCATTTTCCAGTTTTCTATTTTTTAAAATCATTTCCTTTGTCTAAAAGCATTTTCAGGAAGTGTACTTTTTTGGCCCTCTAGGAATAGCTAAGGAATGAATTTCTTGAGAAGATAGTAGTTCGTATTATTATGCAGTAAACTTCAAAGGTTTATTACATGGGGAATCCCAGGTTTCTTCTTTTGCTCTTTTAGTTAAGGAGTTCATATTTTAGATAAGCAGTTTCATTCAGTCTGTTAATTTATTTATTAATGCCTACTAAATGGCAGGTGAGCACAATAAACATGTTCTGAACCTCTTTCTTCTCCTCAGTCGAGCATATGTTAATGTGGCTTTCATGTCCATGGAAAGAAGACTAGGCTAGAGAAAGTAAAAAGTAGTTGTTAGGTGCTTGAAGTTGAAATGAAAATTTCCAAGGACACTGAGAATGTTTTTTATTTTTATCTTTCCTTCATTTTTCTGGATAACCAAGAATTGGTTATATGTCCTTTCTTAAGTGACATATATTTTGGATGATAATAAAAGCCAACTCTTATATAGAACTTATGTATTAACTTATTTATAATTCTCAAAATAATACAATTCTGAAGTAGGCACTATTATCCCCACTTTATAGATATGGACATTGAGGCACAAAGAGATTAAGCTATCTGGCCAGATAGCCAGATAGCTAACCCATGGCAGAGCTGGGATTCAAACTGGGCAGCCTGGCTCTGGGATTTGTGTTCTTAACCACTACACCATAATGATCATTAAATATAACTTCATGATGTTGTATTAAATAGATATGAGGCACTTTAGTATGTTAGAGAATTGGAAAGTCAAAAAAAGCACTTGTCTTTTCTACCTAAGATAGAAACTGTTTGAGAGAAACACAAGAGTCAGCTAAATGGAGGTTAAAATTTTAGCTTTATCACCTAAGAAAGCAGAAAGGAGATTATGGCTTAATCGCTGACAACAATGGGTAAGCTAATACTTTGTCCTATCATTAAATTTGCCCACTGAGTAACAGGTAGAGTTGAAAAACAGTAGGCCTACCTCTAAGAGCAAGGTTTATCACATGGCCAACCAAAGGAGAATACTCACCTGCAGTAGGCAGGGTTGGAAGAGAAGCCTAGGGATGGGGCTAAGCCAAGTATACTTAGTTTTTTCTAAAACCATCAGGAATGAGGTGAGTTAGTATAGTGGAATTCTCTCTATGTGGAAACCTGAGAAGTGGAATTGAGTGTTCTTTTCTAATCGTGTCTCACACTAGCTATCCCAGTTATACTGACAGAAAGACAAGCGTGTTATAAATATTACTTCTCAAAGCTATGCCAAAATAAAAAGTTACGATTGTAAATGTGATACATTTCACACAAAAAACACTTTGGTGGTGGGCAGAAGTAAATTTAGTTAGGGAAAATTTGGGGAGAAGTGCAAAGCAGGTTCTAATTGTTTTATATGTGTTTTTTTCCCCCTTCTCATCCTTTTAGATAATGTTGGTGGATGGATTTAAAGGACAGAAGGTCCAAGATGTAAAGAAGGCTATTCAGAAAAAGATGATCGACACTGTATGTGATAGGTTATCCTCTGACGGCCATTTTAAGTGAAGAGCTGTTACTTATTGATAATAGACAGACTTTACAGTGTTATAAGCTGTGAGTTCTGTAGTAGAACCTAGAGCTGTATTAAAGATGTCATATAGTTTTGTGGCAGAAAATAGACCTATTTAGCAATTCATTTATTTTGAACATCCCACCTATAACGTTGATAAAGACAGTGTTCTAAA